CCCCCCCTGACTTAAAAGCTGGATCCGCCCATGGGGAAGGTGATAGTGAATTTTTCCTACCTGGACAATATTTCACCCCAAACCAGACCGACATGGGCATAATTCCATGATGGATAACGTGTAGAGTGCTGATATGGTCATTTTTCTTGCGCAAGACGAAAAATATCTGCAAAAAGCTTCGCATATTTTACGGGGATTTTTCGCAGTTGCAAGCCTTACCGTATCAAAAAACTCGGTGAATTTCGAAAAGAAATACCACCATGAGGCGTGCAACATCTGGAAAGCATGAAAAAAATGCAAGCAAATTTAAAAGTTGCCCTCCAAACCACTTACTCGCACTGTACTGGGTTTATTTGAGTAATCGACTGGCTGACATCGGAAGCTGTATTCCCCTGTAAACCATCCGCCCATACCGATCTACGACCAAAAAAAAGAACGTTAAAAACCCTGTAAAGTGCCGTTCAAAAAATTCGCAACAACTTACTTGATAGAATAGCCACGCGCTAAATATAACTTGGAACATATTGTACGCAATCATGGTGTTCTTTAGCTGGAATGGTTTGCGGTTTTCCATTAATTTCGGTCCGAGGAACTGGAAATTACAGACAAATCGCTTAGTTTTGCAAACAGTTAGTCAATTCGTCAACTAGTTTTAAACAGTCATCAAGCACTTCCAGCAGACCCAATTATCATTAGTTTTAATTGGCTTTGACGCGGTGGTTGGAGATGGAAATTTTACCAAAAAATTTAATTCCCAAATTTCTCTCCCAAAACCGTTTTCTGGTAAATGGAAAAATTATGGCAGTGGAACATTTCCTAACATTAAAGCTTAATTACACGGAAAATATCGTTAATGGGGAATAAAGTACTTAAATATCATTTACGATGGAAAATTTCCTGAGACATCCCATGGCAATGATTATTAAATAATTGCTCTATTTCACGCGAATACATTTGAACATAAAGCGCCTTATAAAAAATCGAAAACCTTTTCTCAATTGAAATCGATTCTGGGTCAGGAACGATTTCGAGTCCTACTAAAAATATGTAATCAGAAAAATAGGCGTGTAGAGGAGATGCATTCATTAACACCAAACTTACTTTCTTATTTATGAATACTAATCAACCATGCTCTTGAACTGTTAATTTGATTGGTTTTTGGTCTTGTTCTGTCAATAATCATTTCATGCCCCAGTTTTCCCAACGTTTCTCTTGATGAAAACGCCGTTTA